TTGTGAATCTACTTCTTACTCACACTTGATTCTTATGTAAATCATAAAACAGTGAAAATAATAATAATTTGCCCAACAACTGCAAATTCGTCAACTATTAATCATCCTTATTTAGGCACCCAATATGATGTTATTTTTCTCTAGAATTATATATATAATGATGTATAGACACCAAAAATTGCTAAATTATAAATTTAACTTTTGAGGTGAGACCCAATTAATGAAGGAATTTTGTTCAGACAAAAAGGCTTTTTATTTATTTATTAGTATAAGTGATAGTCTAAACTACAAGGGAGGGGGGTTTCTCACACACACACAGTTAAAATGCCGTGGGGGTTCGAACCTGAGACCTCTTGTCTGCAAGTCAAAACACTTTTCCACTAGGTTAGACCCTGTTGACAAATTAAAAGCACAGAAAACCTACATCACTAGGCACATAATTGTCTTGACAAAAAGACTTAATCAAAAGGGACTCAATGCAATTGATCTTAAAGAAAAAGGCTCCATTACAGTAAGATCAACTAAATCAAAGCATACCTGCAATTGATCAAGAAAATCAACAATAATTCTGTCATTTCCGTATAATGAGAAAACAATATATATTATGAATACTACCAAACTGCCTAAATTACATCCACCAATTAATAATAATTTGACACTTACCAGATAAATATTTCGGACTTAATCAAATGAAATCAAAAGAGAGACACCTTCAATTATGCTCAAAATGATAGTCCTGCATGTATTGCTTCAATATATGCTGCATCACAGCTCATGTAATTAGCTACAATCATGCTTAGAACCATAGATGGCCAAAGGGTCTCCCTATAAATTGTGGCTTTATAGCTTCCACTTCCTCCACCAACAAACTCCGGCAATCAAATAGAGTTCAATAAGAAAAAAAGTTGAAACAAAGAAAGAGGAGGTATGGATGCTAGTGTCTCGAGGGCTGTGCTTTTGATGAGCATGCTTTTGCTTGCAATCGCTCAAGCTGATATTAATCCTTCCTATACAAGTGCGGTTCCAAATGATGGCAGCACTCTTGGTCAAGTTGATGATGTCTCTGATCCTTCCAATACAAATCATGTGGTTCCAAATGGTCATCTTATTTCTTGTGGTTTAAAATGTGCGACAAAGTGCCTGATGAACCCAATATGCCTTGGCATGTGCATGATCAGATGCAAACATAGGCCTTCAGATGTTGTGTATAATTGTACACATAACTGTGCCAACTCTATTGCCTCCACAAGCACTTCCAATTCTGGTAATATACATATTTCCATATGGGATTATTGATCTACCTCTCTCTCTCTCTCTCTCTCTCTAGCTTTATCACGTTCATTTTGAATTATATTTCGGTCATTGATATGCTTTATATTTTGGTTTTATTTGCTTGATATTGTAGATAAGCGCTATGTGAAAGGCTTCGTGGATTCATGCTATGAGAGCTGCTCCAAGAATAATTATATTAATTAAGGGATTGGCAATTGTTGCCTAGCTAGCTGCATGCAGCATGAATGTCTTGCGCTCTAGAAAAATAAATGACAATTAGGTCTTGCATATGTAATAATTTTAATTTAAAATAATAATAAGATTGTTCCAATTACTATTTATATTGCTTTGTGGACCTTATTTCTTTCTTGCATACCACCCCATCTTAATCTGTTCCGAACACAACTTCTTCACTCCTACCGCCATCATCAACATCATCAATAATAATAAAAGAGGAAAAGAATATACTCTCGAAGGAGCAATACCTAAAATAAGTCTGCTATTCAATTTACTGCTAAACTGGTAATGACATCATTCTTTCGTGCATCATCACATCTCAAAACATTACCCTCCAGGCTAGCTCGAAATTCATAAAAGTGGAAATTCACTTCTGCTTAATCCATTGATGGATGGAATTAAGCTCCAATAACAGGACCATTGTTTTTCTAATAGGTACAGAATTTACTCATATGCTACATAAACCCAAATATATGAAATCTTCACTTTGCTTTTCTTTTCACCACATTTTCAAGTGGAAACGGAAAAGCATCCTAAATTTTTTAAAACCAAGCTGCCTCTCTCTCTCTCTCTCCTCTGAGCCGTCGCCTCCTCTCTCTCTCTCTCTCTCTCTCTGTGTCTCTGTGACCTCCTCGCCCACCAGCGACCTGCGACCCCTTCGCCCACCTGCCTTTTGTATGTAATATCGCATCCCCAATTGCATTCCTTTTATTATTATTATTATTTCTTTCTGAGAAAGCCACTGTTTCTATGTTAGATGTGTGAAATCAAACTTCCAATGATTACGGCATCAATATAGATCGTAGTTTTTTAGTACATTAATATATTTATTTTTCATTTAAGTCATATTCTGTTGATAAATTTTATCTTTTTGAACCAGAGCAATATCATTAACTCCAAAACTAAAAACAATATAAGAGAAAACAAATGGCACATATACTCCAAAGGAAACATGTTCACTAATGGAGAGTTGAAGAGCTACGCTTTACGCATTTATAGAGTATATTTTAAAATTTATATTTATACAGTATAGCCGTGCTGCTATACGTTTAAAATATTATATTTTCTATTTATAGAGTATAGCCGCGCGGCTATACGTTTAAAATTTCTATTTATAGAGTATTACAGAGCGGCTATACTTTTAAAATATCTAATTTTATATTTTTAAAATATAAAAACGAGAGAAAACCTGTCCTGACGACATTTAGTCAGCAACCAGCAAATATTTGCAGGATTAGACCTCTCCCGACAAAATTCAGCTGTGCCGACGAATTTTCGTTGGGAGAGTTCTAATCTGACAAAGTTTCGCCGGGAAATATTTGTGCTGACCAAATTTCGTCGAAAGAGGTTTTTAAAAATAAATAAATTTAAACTTAGTATCTCTAAGTCAATAAATTTTGTTTTTGGTAATTAAATAATATCTTAGCCCAATTTAATTATTTTCATTAATAATTATGTTTTAATTATTATTTCTTTAGTGAGTAATTAGTATTGAATATTTTAATTAACTTCATAAATTATATTACTTGATAAAGCAGCACAGATATACTCGATTTTTTTTGGAAAGAAATAGTATAGCCGCACTGCTTTACGAGGCTCTTTTATTTTATTTTATTAAATAAATAGAACAGCCGTGCGGCTATACTTGTTTTTATTAAAGAAAATTAAAGAAATAGTATAGCCGCACCGCTAGACGCGGTTTTAAAAAAATTTCTTGAAAATAGTATAGCCGTTCGGCTTTACTCGGCTTTTAATATATATATATATATATATATTCTATTGAGGGATCCCTCAAATAATTTTATTTGAGGGACGCCCTTTAGGGTACCCTACAATTTTTTTTCCAATGATCAAAACCATCTATTTTTAGGTCTTCATTCATAGATCATCCTTACAAAAAATTAGACAAATCGGAAACCGTTTCGACATCCAATTGTGTCCTACAAAATCAATGAACACGGTGCTTCAAGAAAGTACTAAAATTTCAATAACTCAATTGAATGGTCAAATGATATCGGATTCAAGTGATTTTTTGTAGAAATGATATTTGAATGTGTATCTACAAAATAGACGGTTTGGATTAGTGAAATACAATCCGGAGTGGGCCCTACAAGGGGTGTCCCTCAAATAAGCTTATTTGAGGGATCCCTCAATGGAAGCTCTCTGTATATATATATATATATACAGTTATACTTGTTTTTTTATTTTTTATTTTTAAGAAATAGTATCGCCGGGGGGCTATACTCGGTTTTACTTTATCATGTTTGTTTGAAATTATATTTTAAATTATTGATATTCTTTGTATTTTTGTTTTATTTGCCATATCACAAGTCTTCATATTAACCAATGGTTCATGTCACAATCATCAAACCATCGATTTGCACACGTAGTTGCATAACTTGCATTTTAAAAGAGATAGTTGGACTAACCATACTAGTGTGCAAGACAATGGTTTGATGAATTTGAGTATGGTGACAGCCGAGATTACATATTGTAGGCAGAACAACCAACTAAGGTTTCTAAAGTATTGGTCACTTCTTTGGTGTCTATAGTCCATTAATTGCAGATTTTTTCAAGGACTGGGAGCTTCTTAACCTAAAAGCCAAAAACATATGGCTCACAGATGATTACTAAAAAAAAAAAAAAAAAAAAAAAAAAAAAAAAAAAACAAAATTCCATTGTCCAGTAGGTTTTCTCTCTTTTCATGTATAATTCATTGCCTCTTTTAGACTACTATGACAGTTTGTGCAATTGTAGAAGAACTAAATGTTGTACTTACATCTGTTTCTTGGATTGGAAGAAAATGGAGCAATTCTTTGATGCTTTTTATGGAAGAAGGCACAGTTTGGTCTAAAATTCAATTATCAGAAACCATGATTCTGGTAGGTTTTTGGTTTGTTAGGTTTGTTCTGTATACACTTATATTATAAGACCTTTTTATTTGTTCTTCTTCTACAGATATGCTGCAGAGCTTGGATTTGAATCAGATCCAAATTTTTCTACAAGAGGTTTGAGAATTTGGATTTGAATTATTAGTTTCATTTCAACTTGGCTTAGTGTGGTTGGTTTTGTCAGAAAAAACCAAAGATGCAGTGTTAAGGTCTGTACTCCTATGTTGAATGTCCTATTCGAAACTCTGGTCACTGCAATGAGAGTGTGTAGTCAAAACTAAATGAAGTCATCAAGCCATGAAGAGTTTCAAGTCATGAGGATTTAAAATCAAAAGATTGAAAGCAAGCAACAACTTTTACCTATCAATTAATTCATTGTATGTAAATTGTACAGGAAAACGACAGAAAATGAACTAAACATAAATTGCATTCTTCTGCCAATGCAAAATCCAACAGAAAATTTAGAATACCATTATGACAAAATTAGACAAATTCAAATTTGAAAAACTTCAATCATTGACAAGAAAACTGCATCCAGATTCTCTGTAGATCAAGCAAACAAATCAAACTTGCAGTTAAATTTTCCACACCATATCTGATTCAGTAGCTTAGATGCACAATGATCCTCAGCAATGTCTCAGCACCATCAGTGACATGTTGACCAGGAGGTATAAGTGACCTAACCTCAGCAAACCCACTTGCACCCTTGAATTTTCCAGTGCCTCCTGTCACTGACAAATGTGACATTGGGCTTCCAATTTTGAATATGCCATAGAAGTTTAAGGTGTCACCATATTCACCACCTTCAATCATGGCTGTGAAAGCCATCATCTGTGACGATCCATCAGCTGAACTTGCCACATAAACTCCTTGAGTCTTCCCAATTGTCTGTGAGCCCAACTCAGGTGCTGTGGTCAAAATATCATCAATGACTGTGATGGTTCCAAAGCCCAGGCCCAGCCCATCAGGGCCCAACTGGGTTTGGGCCTGGCCACTTGGTTTTCCTGAAAATGTTGTGTCAGCTAAGCCAGTGCCAAGTGGAATGCCATTGAGGCCATTGACAGTTGGGAGGGCACCATTGGCATTGGGGATGGCCACGCCACCTTGTGGGGGAAGGAACCCTATTGGCCTTGCAAAGGGCACTTGCCCTCCGTAGATGTTGCCAAGTAGGCCAGTGATTGGCCGAGCTGTAGGGCTGCTGCCCCCAAGAATGTCATGCATGTACATCTCAAGAATTGGCTCATGCCCACTGGCTTTGACTGGGTCAACTGCTGCCTTGACCAGCAGTACATGCACTGAGGCAATTAGCACAGTGAAGAAAATGGAACAAACTGGTGATTGCTTCAACATCTTGAAGTATCTCTCTCTTGATGATTTCTAAGGATTTGATTTGAAGAAGAAAGGTGTTTTGGTGAGTGTTCAATTGGGTAATGGCTCCTGCTTTTATATAGAAAGTAGAAAAGGTCTAGTGAGAAAGCATGCCATTATTCTGTTTTAGGAAATTCTAGACAGCAATTAACTCTTATAAATTAGGCTAAAAAGGTTGCTATTAGTGGTTGAGAGGTGATGTATATGGGTTTGACTGGATTATAATTAGAAGGAAAAAAGAGAAATGAAACTTTTGATCTACATATGGGTTTGACTGGATAGCAGCGGGAGAATGTGCCAATAGTGCATTGGGTGCAACCAAACCAGCAAGTATCACAGACTAATGAAAGAAAATTGACCTGATGACATACAAATGTTTTCATGTAATTCAATGTGGCAGAACTGATTAATTGTATAACCTTATGAGAAATGCTAACAAATTATGTTGGATAAATTTCACAATTTGACTTCTGACAATATGCCAAGCACATTAGATAAGTCATCATGTGGTTCACTTCACATGATTAATCCTCTTCATAAAACCATGGTATTTTCTTCATCTTCTGATGTTTTAAGGTGCAAAATATGTGAATACTCAATTGCAGGCATCTTCTTCTTGATTTTCCAACAAGGGAATATTAAAGACTTGTTTTTCTCTGCTCCTTTGGTGACTGGCTTGAAGAATAATTGACACCGAAAGAATAATGACCATGTAGCAGGTAGCAAGAAAGATCTGCAATATTTTCCATAATCAATCATGGCACAGCTGAGTTATCAAGCTCCTGCACAGGCTCTTCATGATCCATGACTTTGGACTGCCTCAGAACTGGGGAAATCAACGTCCACACTGCATACAAACATTGGAAGAAAATCAAAGATATAGAACAGATAAAAAGTTGCTCTGATTTCCCCATCATGTCTTTCCAAGAGAACACAAATCCAATAGAACCAAAATACAAACCAAACATTCAATAATCTTTCAAGTTATCTGATTTTTTTTTTTACAATTTCAGCATGGTAACTTGTAGATCAGCCAAATTTTGAGTAAGGTTGCTAGTGCACTTTTAGAAGAAAATCAAAATGGCTATATTGTGATGTTACTCATGCCAAATATTGAGTAGGGCATATTATGATGTAGGTTGATTATGGCAGACTAAAGTGTATTATCAGATTTTGCATGTAGAGAAATAAAACTCAAGACATGAAAAACAATCCTTGTTCAGAAGCAATCCAAATAGGAACTCATATACACTGATGTACTTACGAAATATTGAAGCTGCAAACCATTCGTTGACAATTTTTACCCATGTACTAGTCCACCCAACATCAATGCTCCACCTGATTGTTTCAGAATGTTATGTACAACAATCGAAATTATACAAAATGAATCCTTTCAAAACAGAGATATCTAAATGACAGGGGACCTGATAGTTTGGTTTCTTACTTCTTAGCTGAGTTATTGAGGTTCCAACTGATGAATAGCATTGCAAAATACATGGCCCCCAAGGAAAATGTTAGGTGGAAAAATCCATACTTGTAAGGGATGTCATCGTCCTCTTGAACTTCATCTTTTTGAAACTAAATAGCATGAGAAGTACTTTTTAGTTTTTGGCTAAATAACTGGAATTAAGATCCTGGCTGCTTTTAGCAGTCAGCAAGAAAAATCCCTGCATATTTCACGCTTACTTTCGCTTTTGTCAATGAATAGAATCTATGTATCTAAGAATTGCGTCAATGGAGCCATGTTGTATGAAGCACTAAATTAAGTTACAGGCAATTTTTGTTTTCCAGTGGCTCAAAACAATTAGTGAAACTGTTACGCCTAAATTTTGTTTTCTTCTCTGCCATTTTCTTAGCAACCAAATAAGGTGGATATAATTCATTCTTTGAACATATACTATATACAGAGAAAGTATTCACCTGAAATGACTGCGAATCTATCCCAGTTGAAAAGGTTGCCGTAACAATAGAACATATTGCAATCAGGAAGCCCTGCAGGCAGTACAGTGTAACACAACATATTACCACTATGGAGATTAATATTGAATACATTTGGTGCATGTCATTGCTAAACTCATCTTTAGAAATTATCCAAACCGGCTTACACAGAAAGGATGCCAATATGTTTTTACACTGCACATTCCAAAGGTACCTAGGCGATGTGGGGCTATTGCTAACAATCATTTCATCAGTGTCTCTGATTAGAAAATGAGGATACTTTTCTTCAACTTAGAAGGATAATGAAGGAACCAGAAAATTTTCTAGTGCTCAAACACTTTTTAGTGCTGAATTTTTTCCCAGTTTACTTCATCTATGGGTAGCAGTGGCTTTTTGCATTGTAGCCGACTAGCAGTATGTGCATGTTCAACCCAAAACCGACCATCATTAACTGATGCTAGTATTTTCAGTGCTGGATTCTTTTAACATGTTTTGCATATACTCGTACTACAAAACCGCGTCTGTAAACTATCATTCAATACAGGGAACTAAAAGAGGCAACCAAAAAGAAGAAAAAAGAAATAGAACTAGTCAGCTCTTACTAGTATTGTACTCCAATCACCATTGACATTCCCTTGTTTTTGTCTGTTGCATTCTTCATTGGCAGGTTCACTGAAAAGCCATGTATTAAAACCAGAGTAACGTTAAATGTCTTGATAATCAAGTTGCAAAGGAAAAGGCATAATAGGTGATGAAAGCCTATAAAGAAACAGATGCTAGTGCCTTTCTCATTTCATAAATTTTGGATGTTTCACTTTGCCTTCAGTGTTAGCTAAAAGAAATACAACCAAAATTTCATATACTGCTCATTTTAAAGTAAACCTTCTTAGAGACCTTTATAAATACTGAGCATAAATTTTAAGAGCAGTCGCTTACTAATATGTTGAATGAACCATAATACTATCTGGATTTAGACCAAAATTTACGAATCTATGACATAAATTTACACCTACACAATATAACTGATGCACAATGCACAGGCAAAGAGGATTTAAGAATAAATAAATAAATCATTGGTAGAAATTTTAGCTGAATCTGAATTAGCAAGTTAATACTTGATGTATGGCTGAAGTCCTAACCTTCTGATAGCAGACCAGCATAGGAAAACAATGTATGAAGCCATAATTCCAGAAGATAGAAGACCTCTGTTTACCTGTATTAAGAAGGAAAACGATAATCTATTCTTAACTAGAAGGAACACAAATCGAAGTTGATAAGTAATTAATTTACATCAAATGGAAGTGTTTTGAAGAGCACTGTATACCTTCGAATGTAGCGATATAACCATCATTACAATAAGTAGAATTGTGGTCCATGTGATAAAAATTATGTTGAGAACACATGAGGATTTCATCGCATGTGATGAGTACATATATGCAATTCCACTCATCGAAGCAATGTAAAACAGTGTAGACATGAATAATCCAAGGGAGCAGCTGTAGAATATAAAAGAAGATTACTAAGTGCATTTATCACCAAGAGAAGAAATGAAGGCTAAAGCAATAGTTACAATGGTCTATTTCCTTATTGTGATCTTTACGAAGTCTTTGTTTCTATTTTGTATTAGGTAATAAGCTGACCATTTTTTCATTTTGGGATGACCAGTAAAATGGTAGCCATCCAAAAATCTGAGCTAATGTCTACTTTTCCTGTTAATAAAAAGTCATACCTCTGCTTCTTTTTCTCATCGGGCATCCAGTACTTATTCCACCAATTAATAAAATGGATCACACTTATAAGTTGGAGAAAGAGAAAAATCCTGTCATGAGAAGCTAGCACAAACAAATGTTAGTCATGATATGAGCCAAACACTCAAAGCAAATAAACGTGCAAGTTCACGAACTAAAGAATATATTCTACTATACATGCTACACCTTGATTTCAATAAGGTGATGAATCGATGTTTTCTAAGATCTAAAATGGAGGTTTAAAAACAAGATTCCATTTCCAGATGCGAAAACCCATAGGTTTGTTCATTAGTTTGTTTTCCTTCTTCTTCTTTTTTGTCTAAACATTGATTACAGGGTACTCCAGAACTCTCACACCACTCTCTGAAATTGTGTTGATTAAGCTGTCCCATATTGACTTGATAGTTTCCACATCAGGGTTGCTTTTCTTTAGTCCTTTTCAAATCTTAGAAATAATTCTCTCTAGAAGAAGGCAACTGATTTAGAAGTGAGGTAAAGAAAAACAAATTGTACTAGAGTTTGAGATTAGTATTTTCTGTAATGATAACGATTGCGCTTGCACAAATCATGATCTAATGTTTTATGCTACGGTGGAGCAGGTTAGAACAAAGCACTAAAGATGGCCTTATCCAGGCTAGCAACCAGTTCAAGCAAGGGTAGAATATATAAATGGCTTTCAAGGCATTTTAACAAAGAATTTGAAAGATTACCCTGCACCAACACGAGCAAATTCACCTGCAAGAAAATAGGAAAAAAACTTGTTAATTTGGAAATTCTTTTTCAAGATGCATCAAACAAGGAGGAATAGATAGGTCATGAGTGGTTTATTTGAAGGAAACTACTAATATCCATGGTAACAGAACCCCCATATATAGTAGATTATGTTCTTAGGCCTAGACTTTGTATTTTTGTTTTCCATGGTTTTTCTTAATTGACCATTGTATCTACTTGTAAATATGATTGAAAAGAATAATGCATTGAAAGAGATTATTCTCACATGTTCTAACATCAGATGGACCAAGTAAGTCATGCTTCTTTCTCAATTGATGCATAAAGGACTAGTATAAAGAAAGACAAAAGAATATGGTATTAAATATGAAGTGTTTCGTGATTGATGTCAAATTAACGTACCATATAATTGAACAGAATCTGAAGGAATGAAGAGTGGAACCACCATCGATATTAGTAATATGAAAAACTTCAATCCCCACCATCCAGAATGCCATGCATTGCGAGCTTCACATAGTTTTCTTGTATTAGATGTAGTGAGGAACATTAGAAAGAAAAATATCTGATTTTGATGTTAAGGTTGTTCACTCTTTGAGGGGACAGAAACACAGGTAGGAAATCTGTAGCTGAAAATGAATATTATATTTTAAAACGAGGATAATACAAGTTATAGGCCTGAGTTATTTTGTTATCCATCCTATGATAACACATTTATCCTGCAAACACAAGATTATGACTGCATTATTTCTCCATCATCCGTAGTTTCCAATTGAGCTTCATGCTGAAGGGTACAGCAGTATTGGTTAACCAATTTATAAGGGGTTGCAGTTAAACTTAATCTTATGAATCAGCCAGAAAAAAGATACAAAGCTTCCTAAACTCACACGAAGAACTCCCAGTGTATGAAAGCAGTCATTTCCGCCTGATCCACAAGATTTCATATCTGCAAAAGAAATTTTAGAAGCACAGCACAGAAAGCATCATTATATATACCTTTTCTAGTCTGTAATTATGTGTAAATGAATCACTTCCAATAATGCATGACAGGATTAGAATTTCAGTTTCTAAATGTTGTTCATGTGCAAAGGAACTTGTCTGTGGAATTTAACATAAGATAAAGATCACAAGTCTAGCAGAATCCGTAAAGTGAAACTACTTTAGAAGCTACATAGGGATATTGGCTTTGCAGAAGTCAGTTACAGTATTTGAATTAGGAGCTTGTGATTTGTATAAATTTGATAATGGTATGGACCAAACTAAAGTAAGAAGAAAATCCAGATCTTTTGAGAAGGGGAGAACAGTTGCATACAATGGAGCTCAGGTAAAACCCTTTGCGCATAGTCACGAACAAACCAAGCCCAAAGACTTGTGATTAAGAAGATTATGCCATATGCATAACGGGCTCGCAGCGGCCTTTTCCTTTCTGCCAAGTAATCAATTCTCTTTTTCTCCAATGACTCAGGAACTTCTTCACAAGGAACAACCTCTACCATAGCTTCAACTGCTTCAGCAGATGTAATCATTCTGCAATTTAAAGCACTAAGATGTAACTTCATTTTTAACAAGTTTACACATTGTTCTCAAACTGGATGTGTAGCATAGAAAAAGTTATGTAATTGAAAAGAAAATTGTAAAAAATTTGTCAATGTGCTAAGATAAATGAAAAATACAGATTTTCTGTTACTTTGGCAAACTTCATCCATCCAAAGTAAAAGAGTACTTCCACTTAGGTAAATTGAAAACCATAGATCAAATCTAAGTTGGTGAATATGCATTGTATCACATAGTTTCTTTTACTGTTGCATTCTTTTCCTTACCTAACTCTGAATGTCTTTTTAAGCATACAACCTCAATGTCAAAAGAGAGGAAGCCATGAGAAAAAGTAGACGAAGATGAAGAAAAACTTAACCAAACTCCCATTTTACATCACAATAGTAAAAATCAGAAAACCTGACAGTGCAGAACTCAAAATAATTCAAACTATCAAGCAAAACTGAGAACAAAAACTTCACATTAATACTATTATCTGAGAACAATGAGGGAAACATTGAAAATTTCAGTATGTTAAGGCAGAAGAAGTACCTTTTGAAGTGATACCCTTATCAGGAAGTCAAATTATATGCAGAAGAATGGATTGGAAAGTAGCCAGTACCAATGGGAACAAAACCAAGCAATAAATAGAAGCAATTCCTTCATGATAACAAAAGATTGCTACAATTAGTTAATAATATCCAAAGAAGAAAACAGTTAACTTGTGGAGAGCAAAATACTGACCTCTCACCCTATATATTTGGAGTGCAGTGTAAGGCTTTGATTTTGACACTGTTCAGTGCTCAGCAAGAATGAAGTGTCAAGGTCATTCATCACTTCTATATAAGGAAGGACTAAGTAGACTTCCCAATTATGCACAAGTAATATGAGTATGGTTTTGGCAAAAGGGTCATCGGAAGCAGACAGCTGTAACATATTAAATTGTTGCAGCACTCATAGCCGCTGATTCCATGAACCCTTTTCTAATGTCCTTTTATGTGATGTCAAGATGCCTTCTCCAAACATCTTAGAAACCAGGAAACCCCTTGCATAATCTTCAAAAAATTTCGACATATAATATATTTTCAGAGACTGAGAGCCTTCATTACTCTCAAAGCAGGACACATTTGGTGCATTATATAATTTTCTATTGTTCCCTTTTGTCTTCTCCCTTTCTGACTATTCGTATGAAGCATGCATTGAAAATTGGTTTACAGGCATGACCTATACAGCTCATGTCCACACCTTGCATGCAACAATGTTCAATTAGACAGAAAACCCAGAACATAAATATTGATTTAAAAAATAAAAAAAAATCCTCCCAAGCCCACAAGAAAGTTGCCATTGTGCCAATGAGATACAAACAACAGGGTTATCATAAATTATAATTACGTGTACAAAACTTGCTTTCCAAAATAGATAAACTAATAAATGTTTTTGGGTTTGTGGATGTGAATTTTGATGATGAAAAATCATGTAAAGTAAAATGGACGAAAGATTGAAGAGGAAGATGATCTTTTGATTGATAAAGATTGAAGGTGTTGGTAAAGAAACAAACAACGTCAAGACACAAGGTTGGTTGGCCCCTTCATTGCCCAGTTTCATACTCTTTTCTTTTATTTCGCCTAGTTTCTAGAGGGTGTGGGCCCAAATCTAGTACGCGACTCACCCGTTGGGTTTTAGTTACCGTTGCCTCTGAAGCGGCGGAGCAGGTTTGCCTTTTTTTGTTTTTGTTTTTTTCTTAGAAGAATACAAAAACCACTATTTTCGTTCGGAAAATTTGAGCAATAACTCTAAGCTTTCCATCTGCGTTTCACTTCATTTCGACAGAAAGAAATCCGTATTGACTTCATAACCTGAATTTTTTTGTGTCAAATTACTACTTGAAAATAAATTTGAACTTTAGAGCATCTCCAAAGGAGATGTCAAATACCAAACATCAAATTTAAATATAAATTTAATTGGTGAATTGGAACTAATTAATGTGCATTTAAACTAGCCTAAATAATATATTAATTCAACTAAAATTAAACTCGCAAGTGGGAGTGTATATTATTAATATTACGTCTTTATATCATATATGACAAGCCAATTATTCTGCATGTGGAGCGTAGGACCTACAATGAGACTCACAAAGCCCAGTCAAAGCATTGAGACTCATAAAACGACCATCGGTAGGGTGAACCTTCGGCAATCCTACCCATGTACAAATCATTGGCAGGGTGAGCTTTTGGCAACCCAACCTACCAAGGGCGGAACCAGAAATTTTTCAATGAGTGGGCTAGCTAAAGTTATTAGCTTAAAATCTAATGATAATATTTTTTTTTTGTACTTACATTTTCTATAGTAAAATGCTTCTTTTTTGGAGACAAATTAATAGAAATTTTTTTAAATTGATGTTGGGACAAACTTTGACACCAAATACAAATGTGGAAGACCTCTTACTATGCTTATTGGTGTTGAAATTGTATATATATATATATATATAGTTAAAATATTATGCTATAAATATATTTAATTTATTTTTTTCCCAAACCTTCCCTGGGCTACAGCCAAGGGCAGCCATTGTCTTGGTTCCGCCCATGCAACCTACTGATCCGGCTTAAGAAGGTGTCTGTTTTACTAGGCTGGACAAAGGACCCGTGGCAGCCTCTAAGAGTGATTCCAGCGGACAGCCTAGCCCAAGGCTGGGGGGGGGAAGTTGTTCCAGCGGACAGCCCAGGCCCGGGGGAAGTGTGGGACCCACCAACTTGGGCTGGCTCGAAGGCAGCTTCAGCCGGAGGTCCAAAACGAGGGCTGCTGACGTCAGCGCTACAGTACCCCACTGATTTTGATTTTTTTTCCTGTTGCCACGTGGCATCATCTGGGCTCTCCGATATGATTTTTTCCTCCAATCCAACGGCAGCCAATTTTTTTGCAATAAAATACTGAAAAAAAATTCGGAAATTTTTTTTAAAAATACCCAAAAATTAATGAATTTTTTTCTATAAATACCAGCCATTTTTTTTATTTAAATTTATCTGAAATTTGAAATTGAAAATTTTATCCGATTATGAGATATGAATAGTATTGACACGTAGGAACCCGAAAATATTATCCAAATTAATTATTGTGGTAAAAAAAGTTGTGAAAAAAATAAAAAAATGAATAGTAATTGCCCTTTGCCATGGCAACGAGTGGAAACGGAAAATACTATTTGAAAGGGCAACTACTATTCACGTGAATAGTAGCTGTCCTAGCTCCCCCATTGCCATGGCTAAGGGCAAATGAGTGGAGTTGCTCTAAGGCAATGTCCACAATCCCACATCAAAATCCCACTCAAGGTGCACACCTCCCAAGATCTATAAATAGAGGTGCAAGTCCCTAAAATGAGGTAAATGTTACATTCGGCTACTTAGCCCTTATTCTGTCCAAATTATTATTCACTATGTCCTTAAGCTAATTTAAGCATCGGAGAGCCTTCGGCCGGTACCACATTAGTGCCCATCTTACCGTTGCTCTTTGTCTTAAGTGCTATAGTGCCCCCTGAAACATTGGTCAATTCCTATTAAACCCCCTTAAAGTTAAAGTGACCCACTTTGCCATTTAACAATTGTTTTGTGTCCTACTTTGCCCATTTCCGTCAAGTCTGTTTAAAACTCCATTAAAAATGCTGACATGGCACCAATATGACCCATTATTTTGCTAAACTAAGTACCATGTTTGAAGAAAAAAATTAAAAATTAAAAATTATCTTATAAAAAACTTAATTTAATTATTAAAAATAAAAATAATACTTTAAAGATTCCCCTCCTCCAACCCCATTATTCCTTCCCTCTCTCTACCCAGCCCCTCACTTGATTGATGAAAGAAAATTCATTGATTAGAAGTTAGAACTTGCTAGCTCGGAACTCGGGTGCAGTGTAGTAGAAAACCGCAGACAAACTAGCATCTATGCCAAGGAATTAAAATAATAATAAAAAATCCACAACAAAACTTAATTTCCTATTTTGAATATTTGTAAAATTAAGAAGGGATGAGGTTGGTGGAGAAATTGGCATACGTTTAACATTGTCAACTGTCTTATTATGCATAGCCATGCACTGTATGACGAATAGGTTCGAAATTTAACATTCGAAATTTCTATTTATACGCTGCAAATAGGACAGTTGACAGAATATTTCAATAGTATAGCCGAGCGGCCATAATATATAAATAGAAATTTTTAAATGTATAGCCGCTCGGATATACTCTCTAAATAGAATTTTCGAAACTTACATTTTATCTGACAAAATCAATGATTAACTACAAAGACAAACCTTCACTCCATCATACCATCTTCATTACTAAATTATTCAATTATAAAATTACTAAGCTATTCCAAATATGATTCATTCCACCCACTCCCAAGTTCATTCACGTTTGTTTAAATTAACCCAAAGATTATTAAGCAAATCCTAAACTGAAACTTGAACAAGTGTTGGCACTGAACAAAATCACATGATTTATACTGACCTTTCAACAAGACTGGGACTTGGTGGATTGGTCATATAGCTGTGTGAGAAAGAGCCAACTGAATTGCAGTGGAGACATCTTTAAGAAGTACTCTGGGGTGAAATTGCCAAGTACAGAACAATCCTGGTATAACACAAGTATGAACCTCAAGGAATGTGAGATGATGTGCATGAACAACTGCTCCTGCACCGTTTTTTCAAATTCGGATATCTGAGATGGAGGAAGGGGGTGCTTGCTGTGGTTCAGCGATCTGATTGATATAAGATATTCCAATATAAATGGGCAAGATATTTACATAAGAATGGCTTCGTCAGAACTGGGTACGAAATCATCTTGCTGTTTAAAACAAAGTTTGAAAGAAAAATAAAAGCCACCAAGGAAAAAAGAAGAAAGAAATCTTCCAACAGTGATATGATTAGAAATAATAGCTATTATATGGTAAGCTATTCGATTTTGTACCCTTCTGCCCCTCCATTTTCTGAGATAGGTAGGTTCAGCAACAAACAAGAGGGCATGATCGAATGTCAAAATCTATAACAGAAATGCAATATCCAAAGAATGAAAAGCAGTCCAACCAAGAAGAACCATCAATGGATGAATATTGAATGCATAAAGATTTATCAAGTTTCAAGCAAGAAGAACCAGACCAACCAATCTATTGCTTATCCAAACCAGAAATAAATAGTCAGAATTTGAGATTGGGGCCTAAAAACCGAACCTTGTTATTGGCAAGACCGTAGAAACTCCATGATAGGATAGCTTCATCATTTCCTTCCACTGAAGACAGACACCAAGTCAGCAAATGGAATTAGATGAATTAAGAGTCTAATGATCTCTTCTTCTAAGGACCTGACTTGTGCTTGCTTCGGCTTCCCAATCTCAATCTCAAGCTCAAATTTGCAGTTAAACTTTTTCAATTTCGGGTTTCAGACTTTCAGTCAATCTCTGTTTTCGAAAAATCGGCCTAGGCGGGCGGCTAGGCGGCTAGGCGGGCGCTAGGCGGCTAGGCGGGCCTCCTGGGCGGGTTGGGTCTTTTTTCGGGGCGAACAAGGAGGATGAAGCAGCCGAAACCGAAGAAAACAAATCGAAGCTTGAGTTGATAGAGAAACGAAATGGCTTCTGCAAGCTCCGTCATCCGCTAGTGCAAGCTTCGTGTTCGTTTCGAATATATTTAAAGTGTATAGCCGGTCGGCTATACTCTTAAAATATTCGAATGTATATTTAAAACATCCAAATGTATTAAGAAAGTAAAGCCGTGCGGCTATACGTTTTAAATATACAATTTTGTAATATCATTTTTGGGCACCAACTTCACAATTGACAATGCCTCACGTCCATGAACAGAGCCTTTGGACTATCTCCAAATTTCTCCACTTGTCAATCAGCTCTAGGTTCATGTTTTTGCTGTCCAATAAATTTACTGGTAAACTCGAAGTCACAAGGCTAGAACACCTGCACACATTCCACCGATCGATGTCGTTTTGGCCCTGCATATTTTTGTGTGGGGTGCTGCTGGGTGGGAAAAACAGAGAAGCAAATTGTTGCAGATTCCAGATGGGAAGGAGTTGAGATCATTGTCAGATACTTACATCCAAATTCAAAGAATGAGTTGCACCTCCTTGCCATAAACAAGACTCACCTTGCAGGTTATGAAGTGAAAGAACTAGCATGTGTTTAGGGAGAGGGGAGGCTACCCCATACCAAGTCCTCTTTGAGGAACTATTTGGCTTTTTAAATCTTCACTTTGGGATTAAAAACACAAGGCACCCAAAAAGGGATCAGGCCACCCAATAATTCAACATGATATATATATATATATATATATATTCATATAAAGATGTAGTCACCACCCCTTCGCAAGTACATGATACTAACCTATACAAATTGTGTATCAATTTTTACTTTGCCTTGCATTGCAAAAGCTCAAAAAGAGCCTGCATATTTTACAATTGATTTCAAGAAAGATAGGGTTCTTTTTGAAAATTCTGCAAGCTAAGTATTCTTCAAGTGGTCACACTATCTCCAGGAGGTTTTCCATAAGGAATGACCGTACGGTAGTTGCGACATCATAAATGTAAAACAGAGATGAGCGGCCTGTCATACCAATCTAAAATCTTGAAATAGTCAATGCACAGATTCCATCTTGCAGAAGTTACAGCAAAAGAAAATTTCAGTTGGTCCACAATACTTGATTGACATCACAATCAGCTAAGCTGAATTCAAATACTTTTTTTTTTTTTTCGTAAAATAAATTTGGTTTTAATTTTTTTTTTTATTGTTTTTGTTTTTTTTTTTTTTTTTTTTTTTTCTTTTTTCTTTTTCTTTTTTTTTTTTTTTTTTTTTTTTTTTTTTTCATTCATTTATTGCTTTTAAATATATAATATCACTAAAACATTTAATCCCGGGGGGCGTTGGGTGTCGCGTGCGGAGGGGGCCGCCGGCCCCGCCTCTGGACAGGGTCCCTGTGCCGTTCAGCGTTGCTACGCGTCGTGTGGGGTTGTGGGGGGGGGGGGGGGGGGGGGGGGGGGGGGGGGGGGGGGGGTGGGGGCGAGTGTGGATGCTAAGGGGGGGGGGGGGGTGGGGTGGGGGTGGGGGGGGGTGGGGGGGTGTTTGGGGGGGGGGGGGGGGGGGGTCGTGGGTGGGGGTGGTGTGGGGGGTGGGGGGGGGAGGGGGGGGTTGGGGGGGGGGGGGGGGGGGGGGGGGGGGGGGAGGGGGGGGGGGGGGTGGGGGGGGGGGGGGGGGGGGGATGGGGGGGGGGGGGGGGGGGGGGGGGGGGGAGGGGGGGGGGGGGGGGGGGGGGGGGGGGGGGGGCGGGGCGGGCGGGGGGGTGGGGGGGCGGGGGGGGGGGGGGTGGGGGGGGGGGTACGTGGAAGGGGGGGGGCGGGGGCAGGAAAACGCGGGATTGCGTCGCCCGCCATTCTCTACGGAAGCTCATGTTATTTCAGTCCACGTCATCTATCTTTAGAGAAGGTCAAATATCAATTCTATCACTGTGATACTAATTTTTTGATTCCGGCACGGCCCAACCTTTCGTGCCTTGCCGCGAGCATGGCCCACTAATATTCGTGCTCATGCCGTGTTGTGCCCCATTAATTCAGCAAAACTTATGAATTTAGCAAATAAAGAACCTGAAGCCAAAAACTTGTATAATATGAGGAGCCTGCTCAAGCCGCTGAATTTGAATCCATTGTTCTGTAACAATGTCAGCCATCTGGAAGCAAAGAGAAAGAAGCCAATGGCAAAATGAACCCCACACTAACAACATATCACACACTCATAGCCATAGACCAAAGATGGATTGAGTACATCAGTGCATGACCTTTTGAGCCTGAGAGGCAACCGTTTCGAGTCTATCCTCAGCATCTTGTGCTTTAGACTCTAAAACATGAAGATCGAAGTTGTACTTTCTTGATGCAGCCCACAGAAGCCGTACCTAAAAAGCATTGCAAAGCCCATTTCTGCTACTTTTTCATTGAATTGAAAATTGCAAAAAATAAATTGAAAAAG